GTAGTAGGCTGGTACTGCCAGTAGCAAATATACACCACGTACCAGTGTCTCATGTTCCAATTCCACAATGCACTTCTACGGGTCACTTCTGTGAAGCATTATGATAATGTGCATGTCCCCCGTCAGGTAAGTCGTACTTACAGTCAACTTCGCTTATAACGACACTCGGCGGGGCATCAGAAAAGTGTCCTTTATCGCGAAGTGTCGTTATACCCGAAGTCTCATTATTATGTGTTACAGTTGGATGGGACTTTGCTCTGGGCATGGAAATTCTGCCGTTATTTGCGAACTGTCGTTATATCCGCAGTCGTTATTAGCTGTACATGTCGTTACGGACGTGTGTTTCTAGGAAGTGGCTACAACGAACGTCGGATGTGTGGTGCCTGGAAAATAGCCGAATGGCGGAGCAGGAAGGCAAGACTTTCAACATTGCAACCTTCTGCACGCAATAGTAGTAGTAGTATTTACTATTTTTAAATAGGGGAACCCCCTACCGACGGTGTCGTATTAGTACAGGGAACCTCAAGAATGATTGATAATAATAATATTGAACAAACTCTGAGCGAGAGGAAGCGGTACGGCAGGCAGCAGGTAAAGCATTCCAGCGATCGGCAGCGAGAAAGGATATGGTGGTAAGGGCGAGCATACAGCCAACTTGACCTGGTGCCAGCCCTGTTTGAATACGAATTCCTGTCCAAATGTACCAGTCATCATGTACATGTATATCGGCGAAGGTGAGAAAGACACCTGGTACTACGTGTAGCAGAGGTCAGTTTCTCAGGATGGCGAAAAAAGCCACAACTTCAAGTGGCTTACAATCATTGTTTCGGAGACCTCTATTATAGCAGTTCAGTGATCGACTCGCATTAGGATAATGACACGTGACCAGGACTATCGTAATCAGAATGCGATACATTGCTTGTGTCAATGTTATAGTGTATGTTCAAGCAACCCGTGTGCCAAAACCGATAGTAGGCGATACTGTAGTATAACCGGTTTGTGATCTCTATCCAAGACTTCATGGTTAAACTGCGTCTTGTGAGACTGTGGGTACACCACATTACATGACGTACATGTACATGTATGCACATGTATTGGTGCATAAAGATACTCGTGGTGAATCCCAGGTGAAAGTTACAAGTACCAAGTATAGATCTACTACTAGTACTAGGAATTCGTTTCACTCTCAGTTTAACAACACACGTACGGTGTGCCATGGTCATTGTGCAAAGACTAGCACCGTACCACCGGTATCATCCGAATACCTTTCCAACCGCCCCGCGGCCCCGGGGTCGGGAGTAGCTCCGATACCCATGATGATTGTAGTAATTAATGTTTTTACTTTCCCTTCTGTGTTTGGCTCAATCTATGGTTGTCGCTCCGCTCATTTAGAATCAAACAATTTCGCCCCAAAGTCAGTCTCTCCTCGTCGAGTCGTCGTTCTTTATTTTAAATTCTGAGAGACCACCACTCTGCTGAACTTTAAATTCAATGTTCGCGTTCCAGTTTTCTCTTGGCTGTATATCACGTGACGAATGTTTGCTTGTGAACATTTTTAGAATGTTGTTGAAGAACCTGAATTGTTTACTAATATTATTAACGATGTGTTGGAGCAACGGACGTTCTAGTTACAAAGACGGCAGTGTTTAGCCTTCCATTTCAATGTACATGTACATGTACATTGGCGTCCACAGAACAACCATATTTGGTTAGGTCACTTCCTTGATTAGCTTTGATCACTTGTGCACCGCAATGTGTGTGAAGTAACATACACACAGGCGTACGTCACTCACAAAGTCAAAGAGAGCGACAACACAGCTCGTTCCTTGTGAGACGAATACTGATAAGATCTAAATTTGGACAGCTTGCCTGATAATTCAACTCACTTGTGTAGGGGTTATGGGGCATTAAGATAAGAATGATAACTACTGGTATTGATGTATACCATGCACATGTACATGTGTGTCGTGTCATCGAAGAATCCTGATGGTATGTCTGGCCCACGCCCTGGCCATGACACATGTATCATTGCGTCATTGGTTGTATCATTAGCGCTAATAGCCTGCGGAGATAGAGCCAATAGCCTCCAGACTCGTACATGTCCCACTGTGTCCAACATACCAACCTTTGACTGGCTTTGTCTGGTCGTCACTTCACTCAAATGCGTGGAGCAATCCTCACAGAGCACATACCTGTACGGATGTGCATATCGCAGTACGACTTCATGTACATGTATGTGCAGTCTTGTACAATGTACATGTATGTGCAGTCTTGTACAATGACTTCAGTCACCAGCACTGACCTGTATATGCCTACATTGTAACATGTTTAGACAAAGTGTAGCCTGTACTGTAGGTTACTTGCTGAAAACACACTACATGTGGTCTATGAGCCTAAGCTTCATGACTGTATCTATCTGACGAGTGCTTCTGATCTAGGAAGTCATACTGATTATACATCCCGGATGGCCAAAACTTCAAAGCAACGGCTAGAACTTGTGAAGCTACTAGTACTAGTAGGTGAGAGTTCGCCTACAGTCTTCTGCCTCGTTACTGTGACCTACCAGCGGAAGTCAGTTATGCAACTGCAGAACGAGATGACTAGGATGATAGATTTGCTTGGAAAGGTTTGCCTGATTGGGATTACATGGTTAGGACTGCTTGAGCAGGACAGATAGATGTAGACAGCCGGCCCATTATCTGCACACCCCACCCCACCCCCACCGCTTACCATTGGTGTAATTCTTCCTATTATGTATTGCGCTCACCTTGGCTTGAAATACATGATTGTAGAGTTGAGAATGCTAAGTGAGGTTTAAAAAAAAGACTTGAAATGACTTCTCCACCACACGTGGGGCTCTCACCTTGGGGTGCCACTCGCAGAGTCCAACCAGGGGCTGCATGTAGAGAAATACCTGCCCTGCGGGTGGCATGAGTACAGGCTCTGACGTGCCTGGACTCGGCTAACTCAAAATGTCGATCCATTCACCTGAAACGCTACTCTCACTGTGGTCTTACAAACGGATCCACAATATGTTGGTTGTATGTGAAGTACTATAGTTCTGTTTTCAGTTATCTGACTGAATTGACGCTAGATTTGTAACATTGAGGTGAACGAAGAGGCCTCAGGGAGGGAGAAGGAGAGAGACAGAGAGTGAGACAGAGAGAGAGGGAGAGACAGAGAGAGAGAGAGAGAAAGAGATAGAGAGAGAGAGAGAGAGAGAGAGAGAGAGAGAGAGAGAAAGAGAGAGAAAGAGAGAGAGAGAGAGAGAGAGAGAGAGAGAGAGAGAGAGAGAGAGAGAGAGAGAGAGAGAGAGAGAGAGAGAGAGAGAGAGAGAGAGAGAGAGAGAGAGAGAGAGAGAGAGAGAGAGAGAGAGAGAGAGAGAGAGAGAGAGAGAGAGAGAGAGAGAGAGAGAGAGAGAGAGAGAGAGAGAAAGAGAGAGAGAGAGAGAGAAAGAGAGAGAGAGAGAGAGAGAGAGATTGGAAGATATAGAGAGAAGCGGGAAGAGAAAGAGAGTGAGAGAGAAACGACGCCTTTACTGTGAATATCTTACCTTACTCTCCACTAAATATTCGGGCCTGGGCCTTCATTATCGAAAAACATTGTACTTGCTCATGTACTCGTATTGATGATGTGGAGGCTCACTGGCTTCTCAGTTTGTTTCGCTCTGACTTCGCTCTGACACATGTTACTTATATTTAACTTTTTTGTTCATAGCCTCCATGCACCTTTGGTCAGATGCCCACCAACTAATTGAATGGACTGACCAAAAAAAGCTGGCATCAACTGACACAAACTCTTCAGGTCAGTTCGATGCAAGACTTCCACGCAAAGCAATTACCGACAGTGCACTTCACCGTACATGTCTACATAAGGTTCGACAGGCTTTGCAAATACAGCCTTGTGCAGGTAATGTAAGGAGTATCCCATCATCAATGTCAGGCTTCGGGGATACAGTCATAAAGACATGGAACTTCTGTTCATAATCCTGGTTATCACGTACAATGTACCAGCAAAGAATTTAGCCTGTGATCGACTTCTTTCTGAAGCATTATTTTCCCAGTAACATTTGGGACATGTTCGGGCAATAATCATTTATTCAGCAATAATCCTTCCTAGATACACATTAAGACCGAAGCAAAGAATATACGGTTTTCACAGTGTACAACCATGCACCCAATTCTACACTGTTGGTCACATTGTGTTGACAGTTTGGAAACAGAATACAACAAACTAAGGTTGTCACCCAGTAGACGGTCACTTACCAGTACTTCAGCAGCTTGCACCTTCTCCACGAGAAGGAGAAAGTGGGTGAGTGAGTGAGATAGACAGATAGAGAGACAGACAGATGGACAGAGTCACAGACAGGCAGAGTGATATAGAGATCCGGAGAGAGAGAAAGAGAGACAGACAGATAACCCCTCCACTGAACTATTATGCTCTCATCCAGACCACCTCATGGTTGCAAAGACGGAGCACCCACTTACTCAAATTTGCAGACTTGATTAAGTTAAATTGCGTCTCCGCACTTCTCACACTTCAATATAGTCCCCTTCTGGTTACCTTTTCTTTTTCCTTTACGTTCTTTTCTTTCTATTTTTATTTATTTACGATTCTTCAGCCGTGGTTGGCTTTCATCCTCTCCCCTTTGATTGGCAACTGCATCCTATAATGGGATGTGGAATATTACATAAATAGCATACTGTAAACCGTGAAATTATTGCCATGGTCTAATTTCTGCGAAATTCGCGACCGCGTGGAAATCGCGAAATTTAGACAGCGCGAAAAGGAGATCCATGAAAGGTTTAGCAAGAATGCCACAGGTTTAGCAAGAATGCAATTCTGCAATCGCAAAATTAAAACCTCGCAAACCTGTACAGATTCTGAAAACGCGAACTAAAAACGCCGCGAAAATGTCACGCTTTACAGCAAATAGCTGTACTGATGAGGCCTTTATGGCCGAAACAGCTTTCTGTCTACAGCATTGGGTAAATAAATATACAGAAACTGGGGATAGAACTGTTTCGTCTTTGGTGGACTCATCAGCGCAGCACAGAGAAAATGAGGCCAAACCGGATAGCAATGGAAAATAAATTTTCCACTGCCTGATTTAGACCAGGCCCGAATATACCTTGCCAGGGTGCTCAAAGTGACGAGTGAACCTCATTGCCCTGCTATGCCAGACTGGTCAGGAGACCTTCCTTTCCTGAGATACTTGGCAAAGTCACCAATTCCACTGAATGCAAAATGTACATTTTAATAAGGTACAAGAACGAGGGGTCACAGCTTCTCACCACAAAAATGCATAGCCAAACTAACTACGTTCACACAACGATCAAAGTTACATTGCTTTGTTTAGCAATCAAACCGGTGACAGGAAACTTCCTAAGTCCCTTGTACGAATTGATCAAACTCAGTCAACCTCTCCAATGGTGGCTATTGCATAGGCTACCTTCTTCAAGTGCCAGTACCGGCGAGGGAATGTCCTGACTTTGAACTCTGTGGAGAACACGTACAGAGCATTGAAGGGAGTAAATCAAATGGCCGGCCAGCATTCTGTAAAGGGGAGATATTTGGGAACGGCCGGTCATCCAGTGACAGCAAAGAGGAATTTCTCAAATTCTTTTAAGATCAATGACAACTGCCTGAATGCCTGGGGAATTTTCCAGCTCACTATTTCTTTACAGCATAATTATGTTCTTACTACCAGGTGTGTGAAGATTGTGTCACCTGCCTCTGTTAAGGCAATGCATGAGGTTGTATACACTCGTCTTCCTTTGCATGCCAGGCATGCCGGACACACTGGCATAACAAGCATCAGTGTCCATCATGAAGACAATCAAACAAAACTCGAGCCTGGCTTCCGACAGTGACCCAAGCACTTTCAACTGATAGCGTACACGGGTAAACACCTCCGTTGGTGTTGCATCAACGCAGGACACTAAATGCACAATTCCAGCTATTGCGGTTTTCACTGAAAGAAGGCTCTCCATCTGGGCAGTTCTGTTTTACTTACTCCGGCAGGCCGATTGTCTCCCGTGTGGTCCTAAGAGGATGATGACCTCTGGCAAACATCCACATGAAGTCTGTTGCCTTGCCTGAATAGTCAACTACTACCCAAAAGACTGTAGGTCGGAACTTATCATTTCTGCTATGGGTGGTCGGTTCGACTATAGAGTAGGAAAAACACATTCAAAACATGCACAGACACCCACAGGCACACCCACACACACACACATACACTTCCACACACACACACACACACACACACACACACACACACACACACACACACACACACACACACGCACACACACACACACACACACATACATACACACTTGTACTTGTACTTGTTGCTCACTGCCAAAACTGGCCACGTGGGTCTCCCGGGAGAGGGGAGAGAGACTCAAAAGGAATCTTGCAAAGATGACTCAATTGGCTATTGAACCGCCCAACGGCCGACACCCCCTGAAATCCCAAAAACTCTGGGTGGACTTGAAAATGATCCCACTTATGGGCTCACCACACCTCACTAAGTGGGTGAGGACAAGGTGTGGAAAATGGATTGACGGCATCAGGGTATCCGTCCCGGGATCCAACTGCAGTTACCCCTGCTTTCCAATGAAGGTAATATTTGCTAATAGTCTGGGTGGCTAAATCAGAGTGGATCTGATATAAGCTTCACTAACACCATTGATTACACAAGAGTTAATCTAGCCAGAAGCAGTCCATGGTTAGCAGGTATGTATACTTCAAATAGAAAGTATATGAACCCTGGAACCAACAAAGGTGGCAGGTACAACATTACACCTTCAAGCAGCCGAGCCCGTTGGCAACAGACTCAACACAATCAGGCATAAGTGTACCCACCAACTGAACTAGCTGGCACCACATACACACATGTACACACACACAACACACACACAACACACACACAACACACACACACACCACACACCACACACACACACACACACACACACGTGCACGCACGCACACGCACACACACACACACACACACACACACACACACCACACCACACACACACGTGCACCCCCTCCATAATGCACCGTTAAATTATCAGTTAAAACATGTTTGAACTCGGATGGTGAGCCAATATAGTTATGATGAAGAAAGGAAAAGGACAAAATGTTACGAGTTATGACAAACTGTCCTCCAGCGTAACCAGATCTTATACAGCCAACAAGTGCGACAAAATGGCACAAAACTGACAAGTTGCCGTGATGCGTAGCTCATGCTCTTCTTCGTTGCGCTTTCCTTCCCCTCTTGGACCTTTCCGAACCTGAGCCTTCCAAGTTGGAAGGTTGTTGGTTTGCGCCTTGGAGAAGTGTTGGAGCTAGGTGTCAAGCAGCCGAATGCCTCAGTACTCCTTGTCAGTTTTGTGCCATTTTGTCGCACTTGCTGGCTGTATAAGATCTGGTTACGTTGGTGGACAGTTTGACATAACTCGTAACATTTTGTCCTTTTCCTTTCTTCATCATAACTATCTCACCATCCGAGTTCAAGTTTGCACACCTGATGAGCCGTCCTGATCTATACGTCGAAACGTATGTCGTGTGGAACTACTTGTTATTGTACATAACTAGTCCATCATACATGATAGTGGAGTTCAGTAGGATGTTGGCGTTTCGGTTTGTCACAATTCGTCTTCGCTTAGCTTCCCCTTCTATGTTTACTACATAAACTTGAGCCTCCCAAGTTGGGTGGTCTGTTGCTTTGCGTCGTCGAGTTGTAGTAGGGCCGGTCTTTCCGATAATATTACTAGTTTCGTCATCATCCAGTAACTTTCGGCATTCTTTGTTGCCGTGATGCGTAGCTCGTGCTCTTCTTCGTTGCGCTTTCCTTCCCCTCTTGGACCTTTCCGAACCTGAGCCTTCCAAGTTGGAAGGTTGTTGGTTTGCGCCTTGGAGAAGTGTTGGAGCTAGGTGTCAAGCCGCCGAATGTCTCAGTACTCCTTGTCAGTTTTGTGCCATTTTGTCGCACTTGCTGGCTGTATAAGATCTGGTTACGTTGGTGGACAGTTTGACATAACTCGTAACATTTAGTCCTTTTCCTTTCTTCATCATAACTATCTCACCATCCGAGTTCAAGTTTGCACACCTGATGAGCCGTCCTGATCTATACGGCGAAACGTATGTCGTGTGGAACTACTTGTTATTGTACATAACTAGTCCATCATACATGACAGTGGAGTTCAGTAGGATGTTGGCGTTTCGGTTTGTCACAATTCGTCTTCGCTTAGCTTCCCCTTCTATGTTTACTACATAAACTTGAGCCTCCCAAGTTGGGTGGTCTGTTGCTTTGCGTCGTCGAGTTGTAGTAGGGCCGGTCTGTCCGATAATATTACTAGTTTCGTCATCATCCAGTAACTTTCGGCATTCTTTGTTGCCGTGATGCGTAGCTCATGCTCTTCTTCGTTGCGCTTTCCTTCCCCTCTTGGACCTTTCCGAACCTGAGCCTTCCAAGTTGGAAGGTTGTTGGTTTGCGCCTTGGAGAAGTGTTGGAGCTAGGTGTCAGGTCGCCGAATGTCTCAGTACTTCTTGTCAGTTTTGTGCCATTTTGTCGCACTTGATGGCTGTATAAGATCTGGTTACATTGGTGGACAGTTTGTCATAACCCGTAACATTTTGTCCCTTTCCTTTCTTCATTAAAACATGTTTCCACCATTTTATTACTGTTTGAACTGGCTTCACCCCTCCTATGTTTTCAGATAACTTACTGAAGTACAACTTTCGAAGTTGGAAGGCTGTTGGAGTGCGTACCCAAAACATTCTAGAGCTGATAGCCAGTTAATTGTAGAACGTCAGTACCGTCGGTCAGTTTTGTGCAATATTATCGCATGAGCTGATTGTCAAATAACTGGTGGTGTTAGTGGACAATATAGCGTAACTTGTAGTTCCTTGGTCCTTTTTCTCTACTATAAGTTGATCATTGGCTCTCCATCCGAGTTCTCATGGTGCACTTACGGTATTTTCATGGGTCTACACCCCACCTTCGTTCATGAGTTGTTTCTGCATTTCGCGTACTTTTGTCACACTTACATTCTATCTCCCCTTCTCATGTTAACGTTATTCCCCTAGCTATGCAAAAGACGTTACTTCAGTAATGTCTGGTGCTAGCCAGGGTCCACACAGCTTTAATTCCGTGTGTGTTAGTTTGTGTGTTTGTGCCGTAGGCATGCCTGGCGCTATCCCGTACCTGTCCTGTACCGTACCATCAAAGACAGCTGGCCACAATATTCAAATAGGGCTTTCAATTGCAAGATCATAACGTGAAGCAACTTGGAAGAATGTGTATGTATGCGAAGTATATCGGGGGACTGCATGCAGGGTGATAGTGCGGGTGCGAATCCCAGGTTACGTCTTGAAAAAAATAGGAGAAATGAAAAATTTACAACATCCCTATGCTTTTTTTGCCTAGGTCATCAAGGTGGTAGACGGTGTCGTATTACCCTCGAATGCAAAGGGAAAGTATATTTCTTTCGCTCAGGGCCCTACGCTATGCTTTTTTGCCTAGCTCATTATGCATGTTATTCGAACAGATGGAGCTTCCAAGCTCTCTCGTTTCTATTACTTAGAACCTTCCAAGTTGGAATTCTGTTGGAGTGCGCATCCAAGATGTGCTAGAGCTGTTAGCCAGTTAGTTGTACAACGTCAGTACCGTCGGTCAGTGTCGTGCAATGTTATCGCATGAGCTGATTGTTTAGTAACTCGTGGTGTTAGTGGACATTATAGCGTAACTAATACTTGTAGTTTCTTGGTCATTTTTTCTTTATTATAAATAAAATACTGCGACAGATTTCCGGCCATACTCCAATTTACTACATTCTCAACCTGTCACCACCATATGGGGCGCATGTGCTGTCAGCCGAACCAATGCACGAAGCATAAAACACACCAGCACAGCAAGGACATTCCGTTGACAGAGAATTGTTACGCATCTAGACAGCTGTTTCGCCCCTGCACCATTTATACTGTATAAGAGTTATCATTCCTTAAATTCCTTTACACTCCATTATCATCCTGTACTGATGAGCTCGAAGGAGCGCATGGGGGGTTACGGGTTGAGAATGTATTAATTGTACTACTGGTACTGAACATGAAAAAATGGGTGGTGGGAATTAGAACACCATTGCCAGACTTCGAGCACAGAGGTCTAATACGGCTATTGGCGACAGAATACTTAGAACTCACGTGAAATTGTCGGCAAAGTCGATACCAGTACATGTAGTCGGTAACCGGCAAGATGACCGCGGCCAGCCTCGCATAATAATACCTGACAATCACATCATATCGAACTGCACATTGTAGCGGCAACACTTCCGCTCACTAATAATAAACTACAAATGACCGCTTATTACGCAAGCCGATACCGCTAAGGAAAGCTAAACATCCCACACTGAACTCCAGGTGAGTACTCGTACTGCTGCACATACCACTGCACTTCGGTGGCTACAACCCGCCCCTCCTCGAGACGGTGGCTGAAGAGAAACATTCGGTCAACTTCTTTCCTTGAAGCACAATGTATTGTAGATCTACTAGTAGTTGCTTTGAAGCCTCAATGAAGGAACATTACTACATGTAGCAGGGAGTCGTAACCTACGACTCCCTGATTACTAGTTACTAGTAGTAGATCTACGTATACTCTACATGTCTACAAAACTTAGGTCGGGCGCTAGACAGCCAGGGGGTCACACTTTGACCCCGCGGATTTAAAGGGGAAGTATACCCTAAAATCAAATTTTCACCAGTTGTAGTCTTCGGGGTGCTGAGTCGAATGGTCTTGGTCCGAGGAAGCTGAGACGCTCCCTTCCTACTTGAATCCCAATCGAACTCACGCACTTCCACCGAAACTGGGTGACTGCGCCCTACTAGATGGGGATTTGTATGCAAAATCTCACTAAAAGCGCCATTTCGTTCTTATAAAAGCACGGATGACCGCGATTGGCCCATATGTTGTAGTCTTTTGGACGCTGAGTCGACTGGTTTTGGTCCGAAAAGGCTGCGATGTAGCGTTCCTCCTTTATTCCCAATCGAACATGGTTGAAGAAGCGGTCACGTGCTCCTGCGTACACCAGTCACCTGGTCACCGTGCCTGCAGGGTACAACTTACTAGCCTGTTTGACCTTTTTTGGGTGCACTCCTGTCACTCGAGTTGAACTCGAGTTGAACCTTGGTGTGAAAGTTGTCGCCTGCTGGCGCGGTGACCAGGTGATTTGGGCACCCAGGAGCACGTGACCGCGTGTTCAACCATGTTCGATTGGGAATAAAGGAGGAACGCTGCATCGCAGCCTTTTCGGACCAAAACCAGTCGACTCAGCGTCCAAAAGACTACAACATATGGGCCAATCGCGGTCATCCGTGCTTTTATAAGAACGAAATGGCGCTTTTAGTGAGATTTTGCATACAAATCCCCATCTAGTAGGGCGCAGTCACCCAGTTTCGGTGGAAGTGCGCGAGTTCGATTGGGATTCAAGTAGGAAGGGAGCGTCGCAGCTTCCTCGGACCAAGACCATTCGACTCAGCACCCCGAAGACTACAACTGGTGAAAATTTGATTTTAGGGTATACTTCCCCTTTAAAGTAGCACCTGTGTCGTTCGACCGTATGACTTGTAGAATATATATCAGGGTGTATTTTACTACTCCCTGATATATATAGTGTAGATGTACATCCTTCGGACTTCACGATCGTCATTCTGCACACTAGTAGATCTACTACTGTTGTGGACATGGAAATCCGGTCGCACGTCTAGCGGCCCCAGGGCGCTGGCCATGCAGCGGTGGATAAACGGTACACACATGCATTCATGCTCTGAAGCGCGCTACGCTGGTCGCATCGGATCAACATCATGTGCTGCATGCACCGTTTCGGTGCGCGCTGAGGGCGCCGGCCCCGGTCAATCGACTGGATTTCCATGTCCGCGCCAGTACGATCCTGTCCCGCAATGCGCAAGCACGATCATGTAGACCTACTACTAGGCCCCCGTGTAATATGCCGGCATTTTTTTTCCGTACAATCCGCGAACCCAGCACTTTGGGCTCGTGATGCAGCATTTTGGGGGAAACGGAGCACTTGGCCGTTGTGTATCAAAATTGAGAGAAGAAAAACTTCCCAAACAAGAACGTCACTTCCGCATTCCGTGGGTTAGCTTCTTCTTGAGTAGTTTATGAATTGTTTACCATGGCAGACTCGAGCAAGTCTCTTATTGAGTATTTTCTGACTCCCTGGTTTTGACGGCGTGTGCTGAGGATGACAAAAAGTGAGCATTTTCCGAGCATTTTCGGCAAGGTTTACGAGAATTTCCCAAAAGCATTTTCGGCAAAGTTTCGGGCATATTACACTAGGCCTTGACAATGACAGATTATGCTAGCATAATTTTTCGCATAATTCCTACCAAAATCGAATAATCGCATAATTCGAGGCAAATTGCATACAAATCGCATAAAATTGGAATAATCCGCCTGTTCGCATCAAATTCCATACAGTTGTACATGTACATGTTCTACAAGTACAAGTAGACGCACCAGGAAGGCGTAGGTTTACGACTCCCTTGATAACATGTCCAGTCCACTACAATCAGTGACCAGGGTGACGGTCGTAGCTAGGTCGGACGGTGCGTTGACGCCGTTGAACTTTTTCTACTACAGTACAACGCCCTCTACAAAAAAATTCACCTGTTATTTTGCACAGAACCATTAATTATACATGTACATTAGCAGCATATGTGAGCATCATGCGGCATAATATGATAACTTTTAGCATAAAAAAGCATAATTCTGCATATTTTTCAGCAATGCGAAAAGCATAATTTCACGAAAATATTAGCATAATCTGTCAAGGCCTATAATACACCGGGGCCTACCTACTACTGTCGTGGACATGGAAATCCGATCGCACGTCTAGCGGCCCCAGGGCGCTGTCCATGCAGCGGTGGGTAAGCAGTGCTAGGGTCCAGCGGATAATGCCGGCATTATATTCGGTATTATACGACTATCCGAGCATCAGAGCATTATGGAGCATTAGAAAGGAACAAAACGAGCATTATGTGAGGTTGGAGCGGCATAACGAGTATCATAGTGGATAATATCCGGAAATCCCAGGTTTTTGGCAACAATCGGCTACAATCATGATCATGAGATGTTGTCTGATGATTGGTTTTTGCCATGAAACTCTGAGTAACAACGAAACAGCCCTATTTTACTCCTTTTGTGTACCTCTTGCGTACTACGCTCCGCCCATTCCGGGCATTTGAGCACTATGCATTGTACCGGCGCATGACTTTGTGATTGTGTAGACACGTAACACCGGCCTTTAGCACTAACGCTACATAACTATTGCTACATAAAAACGTTATGATTGTAGCGATGTGGTCAGGTAAATGTCCTATACATGTACAAGCCATTTGTGAAGCATGCCCAACCGAGGCGGAGGCAGCTCAAGTGACACAAATCCGGAGAAATTATTTACGAGGTTTCTTTTTACTTCAAGAATAATGGAGAGCTATGGAGGAGACATACGCGAAGTGAATACCAAACAGACGAAGAAGGGTTTTCTCGTTGTGCCAGAGGCTCTGGCGATAGCATCTCTAGCGATACTGAAGTAGACACTGATGCATTGCTAAATTTGGACCAGGATGAAGGAGCGGCTATAAACAGAAAAGCTCATTCCAAAAGAACTGCCTTTGCCGAGTCCAGCTCAGGAGGCTCATAGACTCAGTACCAAGTCGATTGCTCAGCAGCGCTTGTCTTACTTTCCTGATGAAGCACGTACAGTTAGTTGTGGATGGTTGTAATGCCAGGCCTACAGTTTAATGCTATCAGAAAGGAAGAGTATTGTGGCAAGACATACGTCTACACACCATCTCAAGGAGAAGATGAGAGCACAAGCAAAGGATGTAGAGTGGCAAAATAACTTCTGACCACGTGTTTTCAGGATTTCCGCAAATGGGAGGGCTCTCCGGCATCTGAGATCGGATCTCAGGAGCTGGCATCACGTCTGGTGTTTCAGATGAAGACATTATTCACAAAGTGGACGCAGTGACAGCTTGTCTGCAGGCAGGAATACTATTTGCCAAGATTAACTTCATCCCAACAATGAATGACTACCTGCAATAATGGTTTCATCTCTCACTACATGGATAATTTTGGAGAAAGATTTGATTCACCGACTATTGTGCCACAACCCTGCATCAAAGTTGGAATGGAGAGCAGTCAATGGAGAAGCGATCATGTCTTATAGTGCTAAGAAGTGGTGGAGCTCGCGTAAGAGTAAGAAGTCAAAAAGAAAAGGAAAAGAAGAAAGAAGCAAATTTGGACTGAAATTGTTAAGCCAATGCAAATAGCCATGGAAAAGGGGGAGTGTAGCAATGCAGAAGAGCGGGCTAGAGGAAGGGAGAGTTGGTTCCTAGTGGAGTTATCCCGTCGGAACCAGTCAAATGATGCGGGGGTATTTTGGAAAGTCGAATACGATGGATAAGACAGCACATCATGATTCTTCGTCTTTCTAGGAGAGGTCTGGTCGAGGATAACATATAGAGAGCGACACTAGAAAGGGACTTGGGCATATGATAAAGAATCTTAAGGAGGGAACGATTGTGAATTTCCAGTTTCTGCTGTTGGGCAATAGATAGATTTGTCCAGGCAGTACAGCAGTAGTCAAAATGCGGCAAGATATTATGCAATATAAAAAAGAGCACGACAGCTGTCAGGAAGATGGGCGCCTTGTGAGTATATTACACCTATGGCTTGACTAGTCTTCTCAATCTTACATATGTGGGCAACATGGTGAGTCCAGGAGAGATTGGTGTCAAAACTGACACCAAGATGCCTGTGATGATCTACATATTCTATGGGAGTGGTGGAGAAATGGAATACTAGGGGAGGGAGAGGGTAGTAGAGAGTAGTAGACAGAGGGGGAATGATCATTACCTCCTCGTTCGAATGACATAATATGCAAGCGAGAGATAATAATATCTCTCGCTTGCATACGATAAGCCAAACGTGCCAAATCGCCAAATGTATGCTCACGTTGCCATAGCGACCAGCGCAGTGATGACGGCACGCACATTCTGTTTTAACTTTTGCTCCTTGAGAGAGAAGGTCGATCACTGCAGAATTTGGTCATTTTCAATTGGTTTATTGTATTCACAAAGTGAAAGAAGGGCTGTGTTCAATGCTGGTGGTGCCGTGAACTGTTTATTAGTGGTCCTCTCGGTTGTGCACTGGGACGCGACACCGACAGGAGAAAGCTGGAGTTCGGAGACATCAGCACACTAGCGAAAATAGCGACGAACAAAGAGCTGACATCTTGGTTGGGACAAATCAGACGTTCAGCATTTACCCCAACCAAGGGCCTGCCGTTTGCTCTTCCCACTTCCTGAATATGGATGTGATGCTTCCTGGCGACTCTCCTATCTCTCGTAACATCTTCTGAAGCCAGGTGAGACTATGGGTGGTAGAGATTGACAAACGAAATATTGTCGTACCTTTTGAAAGTTTGCTG